CAGGCTGCCGTCTGCAGCCCAGGCTCTTCTCTGTGTACATGCAGAAGCGAGAGGCAGAGAGCCTGGAAGATGGGGGGACTGCAGGAGAGTGAAAGGGTCTTACAGCAAAGGCAGCTAAATGACAGGTTGGGAAATTAATTTTTTTTTTTTTTTCTTTCTGCCACAGGTTCCCTGTCTGATGTAGGTAAGTCAATTAGAGTAAATGTTCTCTATGTGGTCCTTAAAGGAGCATTCCTCCTCCTCCTCCTCCTCCTCCACAGCTGACCCCCGAATTCACACAGCGGCTGAATAACAAAATCAGGGAGCTGCTCCAGCAGATGGAGAGGGGCCTGAAGTCTGCCGACCCGCAGGACTGCACCACCTACACTGGCTGGGCAGGTAGGGTGGCTGCCTGGATGGGATGGAGCAGGAGCTCTCCATAAGCGGACTTCGAGGTCAGGCCAAGGCAGACTGTGGGTTTTTCTGGCTGCGTGAGTGATTGCAATAGATCTGTGTCAAGAAGGGTGCTGCTTCAGCTTGTTTTAATCCATTAAGGGGCTGGCATTCTCGGGACTCACTGGTTTTGAAGCAGGTTTCAAGCTGCAGAGGGACGACTGTAGCGTTGTAGGGCAGGATTGGGTCTTCTTTTGGTTCATAGCGTCAGACTTAAGCAACAGAGAAACCCAGCACCTGCTTGACAGCAAACATGGGAGCCTTCGAAGGGACTGGCTCCAAATCTGGCCATGGTGGGAATGGTGACAAATAAACCAGTGCTCCGGGAAGCAGGCAGATGAGTGTGGTGGGCCATTTACCTGCAAGGAGTCCTTGCATATGGCAGCGGTGAGCTTATGGCCTGAGATAATGTCCGTCTTTTCTGTTTGGGCTGAATTTTATCTTACAACATTGTCTGATTGGCAGGTTGCTCCATTCCTGTTCCCCAGGTAGTGCCCCTCCACTTAGCCAGGGCTAGTTCTGCTCCAGTACCTGCTGGAAGGAGCAGAAATGCAAATGTGAGTATAACGAAGGGTGGAAGCCTTCCTCACACTAACTCTTGTGTGCAAAGCTCCCAGGAGCTCGTCTTTCTCCTGTTCTGCATTTTCAACCTGTTTTTCCTTCCTTGGGAGCATGCCCTGCCTCCCCTTCCCTGTTCTTACCCACTGGAGCCAGGGAGGACACACCTTTCTCCGCCGCCTCATCCTTGGCTGCTGCTGTGTGCTTTGTCAGCTTTCCTGCCTTCTGCACTCTGCCAGGCTCTAGGGAGGGACCCTGGGGTAGTTGCAATTAATCTCATGCTTGCTGCAAGATTTTTTGATGCTGCTTTTTTTTTTCCCCCAATAAACTGCAATTCTAAATGGCAACTTTCTGCATTATAATCTGGGTGTGGCTGGCTTGCGCTTGGGTGCTGCGGAACACGATGCCAACAGTTTGCTTTGGAGAATGGTGGTCACTGTGTTGGTGCTTAATTAATTAAGCAATGCCAGAAATGCCTGCTTAAAAATTTTAGTAAGGTAGATGGGCACTGAGAGTGCTCTAGAGCAGTTCACAAGAAATGCTAGGATGCCAGTATTAAATTCCAGCGTGGGAGAACATTGATTTCATCAGTTGCTGCCTGGCAGCACCCTGCTGCTGCTGCCTGTGAACATACGCGTTTTTGTTCAGTGCTGGCTGATGTCACCTTGGGAGATAGGTTCAGTCTTCCCATCTGCATGACCCTGCTCTGAGGTCCCCTCAGGTGGAAAGCACTCCATACGTAAAGATGGTCTTCAGTCATGAGGGTGCTGCTTGGCATCATGGTAGAGTCTACCTCTGGCCGGAATAATTCGGGAGATAAAGCAGGAGGACAATTAGCTGATGTTAGGAGTACTCTGAAAATCTGCAGGGAGAAGGTAAACACCTCTCCCCAGAGGCCATGTTTCCTTCCTTCGGGTGGCCTTAAGGAGCTTCATGTTGAAAAGTGACTGCAGTTTTGAAACAGTGATTGAGAGATTTTGATAGGATTTCAGCTCATTTTTATTTGGAAGAGTTTCTCAAGAGGGATTCTTGTCTTTTCCTCCCAGGGATCATTCTTCACTGGGCACACAGCCTTCTCGCCTTGGCTAATAGGATTAGAAAAAAAAAACATGGACAAATTTCCTGCAGGTTACAGCCAGTGAAAGGAAGTTTGCAGATATTACACTGTATCTTTGTCACCCTCCCTTCTTTTCTAATCCTAGCTACATTAATTTATTCAGTGCTGGTTTCCAGAGACAAAATTAATTGGGCCAAGACAGCAGTTTTTTCCTGTAATTGCTTATGTAGAAAAGGCTTGTTGAGTATCTTCTCATGTAAATCATTGCCCAGCAGTCTGAAATCAACCCACACTCTTGTGGCCGCTAATAAGAGAGATTTGAAATGTGGCTCTCTTAGTGCAAACTCTGCGTGAAATGTAACATACTTGAGTGTACTACATCACACCCACTAATACACAGCATATGCTGGCATTTTACTTTGGTGCCTGTTTCTTTCCCAGCACACTTGACAGAGCCCTGTCCCCCCGGCCTTGCATTTGTGCCGCGGAAGCCACGGCTTCTTGGCATGTGAAGTTGGAGCAGAGGGAAGGAAGGACATTTTCAGCTCAGAGGCAGTGAAAATAGGCTTTGGATCAAGATCATCCAGCATACGGCTGCATGCCCTCAAAACACATTTGAATCTGCTTGTTACAGTTTCATTCAGTTCCCCATAGAAATTAGGGCCTGGTAGGCAACACCTGGTATGTGCCTGGGTATAGACCAGGCTCAGATATTGTGTTCTGGTTTGTCTTTTAATCAGGTTAGCTAGACTGCTGTAAGAGCTTTTGTGGTCTTAATCTGTTTCACTGGTATCAAAGCGTTGACTGAGGGAAGGTAAACTGCCATAAGCTAAATCTGAATCAGAAGCAGTTCAAATCCTGGCAGAAGTACAACTGCCTCATCCATTTTCAAAGATTAGCATGAAGATGCCTAAGAGTATGTACACGCATGTTGGTATTTCTCATGGTGCAAGAGGCCTTGCTCCAAAGACCACCTTGACTGGGAGCACAGACGATAGAAAGGGAGTGGAAGGAGGCTGACTTCACTCCTGTCACCTCTTAGCTGACTGCAGGAGCTAGGAAGCTTCCAGTCCAGTGCCTGCTGGACTGTTATGTTCTTCCAAGATGATGAGGTGATCTGCCACCTGAAATGGTATATAAGGGAGAGATTCCCCCTCCTCCACATTACGGCAGTACCTTTGGAATTTGTTTCCCACACACGCATTCCCTTCTCTAGCAATGTCATAGTCGTGGCTTTCAGAGCTTGAGGGCCTCTGAAACAGACGGGTGAGTCCAGCTGGCCTGCCCCATCCACAGCTTTTGGCTGGCTCGTTGGCAAGCAGCAACAAGGAGCAGGGCTGAGTTGCCTTTTGAAAGGACTCTTCAAAAGACATGGCAGATGAAGGAAAAGCCATGTAAGAATGGATAGAAATTCTGACTGTACCAGTTCAGGAAAGCTTCTGGAAAAACACCTTTCATTTGCTTTGGTGCAATACCTTAGCTTTAACCTCAGAACCCAGAGAATTTGCATCTCCTTAAGAGAGTTCTGTTCAGAAAAACAGAAATCCTCAGATAATCCCCACAGAATAAGAGGCAGTGAGGCTGCATTTGATGAGAGAGAATAGAGTGCCTTGTGTCACTCACATACACCACGCTCCTGCCAAGCACTTGGTGGTTAGTTTTTGTGAAATTGCCATTCTTGGAGATAGTCAGTATCTGACTGAACAAGGCTCAGAGCAATGGGATGTAAGTTTGAAGTTGGCCTTACTTTCAGGGGGTTGGGTCAGATCACCTCCATGATCCCTTCATACCTAACCTGTTGTAGGATTCTGTGATGGGGTAATAGATAGTTTTGGTTTGGGCTGGGATGGTTTTTGGGTTTGGGGTTTGGGGGAAAGTTTTACAAACAAAGCTTTGTTATCCAGGTTTTAAGGCTGGAGAAGCTGAGGCATCCTGAGAAATGCCGTGTTCCACAACGCACTAGGAAGGCAAGCTGCAAGCTGTAGTAAAATGCCCTTGTGACTCTTCAGACAGTTCTGAACATGGGATGATACAGCCCTCCAGAGATGTCTCACTGTCCCATTCAGCATGGCTTTGGCGTGCATTTATGAGCACAAGATAACATCCCCTGTGTCTGCACCAGAAAAGATGCTTATTATCCTTTGAGCTGGGCAGTAAAGCTGTGCCACCTGCTCTGTAACTTTTACCCCATGACTGACTCATTAAAATGACATCAGGTTTCTCACTAGAAACCATCAGGGTTCATCACTATGTGCAGAGATAGGTTTCCACTTCTTCCCTCTGTCTTTGACATTATGCTTTGAGGGTGCTGGCTGACTTACTTCCCTGGGTCAATGCAAGATCTCCGACCTCTATTACTGTAGATGGCAAGTTGGGAACAGGTCCATATTAGGTCAAGAAATCTCCTCTTGTGGCAACCTGGTGCCCTTTGTGGAAGGAGCACATTGCAGCTCAGCTCCTGGTGGACAAGGAGGCATGTTCAGAACAGTCTCATGGGCATCTCTGCTGGTGTTGTCAGCAAGTGGACTGCAGTGGAGCTGACACTGAGCTCTGCTGCTGCTCACTTTTATCCACTCTGTTCAGTGTGAAGGTGAAGCTTTGTCTCACTACTGCTGTTCTCCCACCAGCAGAACTGTTTGCAAAGGTAGCGCAATCCAACATAAAGAACAAGTCTAAACTTGCAGGGAAGTTGAGGCACAGCTTTACTTCTCTTTGATCAACAGAACGGTCATATGGATGAGATATTCTTTCAGCCTGCTGCAGTGCTTTAGCTCTCCATCAAGAACTTTTCTGGTACCTCCAGCAATGTCTGCTGCTCTGTTGAAAGCAATGGTTGCTAAAGTCAGGGCCATCAGCACTAGCCAACTGGTGCAAAAAATTCCATTTCTACTATGTATATTTATGCCTCTGCCCCACTCAAAAGAAATCTCTAATGCAAATCACCCCTCTGCATCTACAATACTGCTCATACAGGATGGCAAGAGGAGAGAGATGTTTACTGTCCTGCTGCAGACGTTAAATAAACAGGCTTTGTGAGAGGCATGCAGAATTGATTTTTGCCTCCCGATTCCCTGCAGTGAGCAAGCATCTCGGGCATTAATGTTCCAGTATATTGGCTTTTTGCACACTGGAGATGGCGGTGTCAGTCATCAGAGCCCTGCTAGAGGGTACGTTGTCAGTAGCACATGTGTTCACTGCAGTCCCGCACCATCAAGTGATGTCTGATGTGTTCTGCATCACAGGTGGCTACACAGCAGATCTTACACTGCAAGGAGCAAAAAACTTCGAAGTCTGGAGAAACTACAGAGAATGTCCAATATTAACCAATAAACAGAACCAAGCCCATACATCTTTGGCAGTAACAGGCCACAGGCAGCCACTGCATGGCAGCTGTATTGCTGGAAACAATCAGGAGTCACAGAGGTCACAAAAATAGGTCACATTTCCAACTGGGACACTGAACACAGACCTCCAGGGCACACAGAAATGGAGCAGATCCACTGCTTACCTAGCCCCATTTGACTGATGATGCCATGTTTGCATAGCACTTAAAGCATGCCAAACAAACACCCAGTCAGTCAGCAAACCCCACCTGGTCAGTTGGGGCAAGGAAGGTGTTACTGGCAAGGGAGCAAGGCAGAGCTGTGGAATAGCTTCGGCAGAGCAACACTGCGTAGCTGGGCCAAGTTCATCAGGTGGAAACTCCCATGTCTCCAAACTGCCCTGCCTCCAAAATATGCTGCCTACATCTTGGCACACAGGATATTCCCCACCCAAGTGACTGTATTTTCTATCCCTCTACATACATCTGTGAACACTGCGTCTTTATGCATGAGCCTGCCCTCCTCTGCTGGCCTTCCCTGGTTTTGGGCTCGCAGTTAGCAGCAGAGCAAGCAGAGGGCTGAATGCAGCACTGTGTTGTGCCCTTTGTATCAGCTTGGGAGTATGAATTTCTTGAGGAATGAGTTGAGAAAATTTGCTTTAGATTCAGTTTGTAAGGCCTTTGGGTTTTAAAGAAAAAATTAATTACTTGGGGAAGCAACTCATCCCTTCCATCCTTCAGTATAGGTCAGTGGTTTTTTGGAGTCTTTTCCAAAGATGCTTGGGCCTGGGAGGAAAGGGGGCAAGAAATGTTTTAAAAGAGGATAGGCAAAGAAGTCAGAGGAAAACAATGCCAAGACATTTACCTTCCAAGAATTCAATCCTAGCAATGGTCTTAGCTTGGTAGTTATGTGCATAATTAGGGTAGTATGATGGCAGTGGGAATAGAAGCTACTTACAAAGCAAAAAGTTGTATATTAAAGCAGATAAGTCAAGAGTGCAAGTTGTGCTCAGACAGCTATCAGGCCTATTAAAGACCAGAAGCTGTGTGAGGTGCTAAATAAATCAAGGAGAGTCACTTGACATTTGCTAGCTGGAAGAGGAGGGTTTTCCTTTAAAGAAGGGCTTCATATCCACATCCTTATAGGCTTGAGTGATGACACTGTACATCTGAGCTCTCTCTGGAAATACTAACATCAAACTGCTTAGACATGGAATTGAATTGTCTGTAGCACAAAGCTTTGGAGATTACACATGCAAAATGAGAAAGTGATCTAAATTTAAAATTGTCCTCAGTACCACAGAAAGTAATTTTGCAGCATGCTTGCCCCCCCTCACCACATCAAAATCTGCAGAGATTGGCTCTAATAATTTAGGCTTAAACACAGGACCTGAGTCTTTTTAGAAATGGTTACTGGTAAGGGGAGAAACAAGCTTTTTTCAAAGCGATCTAGGCCAGTAGCTTTCTTCAGTGCATGTTTAGGGTACCTTCAAGATCAGAAGGATGGTTCAAATGTGGCAGACCTCTCAGACACAGACTTACTGAGGACTCCTCAGTTACCTACTAAAAGCTTCAAGAGCTGGATGAAGGCAGCGTAGACAGGGGTGAAGGACAGCAACTGATGTGACTTCTCAGTAGCAGAGTTGTTTCTGTAGCTGGCTAGCCCCTTGAAAACCTCCAGGCAGGACCATGCAGTCTTTTCCAGTGTTCCAGGTAGCTGTTTATGTTTCAGACAAAGGCTGACCTCATGAATGATGTGCTGCAGAGGGGAGTCAGGCAGCCCCTTTCTTTTCTAGGATGCACCAGTCCTTGGTGTAGGGCTTAGGACCTGCTCAGCAGCCAGAGATGATGTCCAGGGAGCTGTAACGACTTTGCTGGTGCTTCCCAGTGGGAGGGAAGATTAAAAAAAAAAAAAAAAGAACCAAGTAGAATGTCTTAAGGGTGCTGCTTCTCAGTGCTGAAGACGTGTCACCTTTTTTAAAATCCAGTCCAAGCTAAGTGACCCAGCCCTTTTCCTCCTGGCATGGGAAAAAATAATTGAGATTCAGCACTGCTCTGCTACAAGTACCATCTTGCCCAATGATGATTTTTTTTCCTCCTCCACTGTTTAGCAACAGTCCCAGGTACAGTTGATAGATTTAGGTGGTTTGTCTAGGTCTCATCTTTAGCTCCTCGCTAGTAAAATTGTCTGTAACCTGTGTATCAGAAGCTCTGCTCAGGACCTCCTGAGTCAGACACTGCTGTTTGTCTTGACCTGCAGTCCACTCATGAGCAGCATCAGGTACAAGGAGATTACAAAGCAGGAAAAGAAGCTGTGGATGCTGCGGCTATGGGTTATGCCCCTGGATGTACCAGAGAAGCCTGTCTAGAAGGCTTATGCCCTAGATGATGCTGAGGGCCAAGCTTTTAGGTTTGTTAAAACAGCCAGGGCGCATAGCAGGAAGGGTAAACTTTTCTGATGGGCACAACCTTCATATTCCTTTTGCAGGCATTGCGTTGCTGTATTTGCACCTGCATGATGTGTATGGAGACCCAGCCTACCTTCAGGTGGCCCATGAGTATGTGAAGAAGAGCCTGAGCTGTCTGACAAGACGATCCATCACTTTCTTGTGTGGAGATGCCGGCCCCCTGGCAGTGGCTGCTGTAGTCTACCACAAACTGCAGAACCAGAAGCAAGCAGAAGACTGCATCACTCGGTAAAATGCTTGGTTACGTCTTTGACCTAATGTTCTTCTTGCTCATAGAGCTGGTCTGGGCTTGTATGGGGCACTTTCTGCCAAGCCTGAATACATCTTGTTGCAGTCTTAATTTGGAAACTTAGCAAGGCAGCGCAAAGTTGTTTTGCTGTGGGGAAAGAGCTAGTTTAAGGACAAACACCCTTGCCTAGCAGCCTACAGGCTGGGGAACAAGGATATTCTTCAGCTGGTATTGCCAACTTAAAAATAATTCTGATAAACACAGGAAGAAAAAAATGTCAAAATTTAAAAAAAAAAACCACAGAAGGTCAGGTTTGGTATTTTTTCAGAACCCTTAAATTTAGCTTTACAGCCATTTTGATGAAAAGGAGAAATGTGACAGGATTATTAGATTAGTTTTGTCACTCACTTCCACTTGCTATTTCTTAGTTGACTTTGACTGAAACCTAAGATTGACAGCATCCCTTTCAACTGCTGAATGCAGCTGGTTATGATTCATTTATTTCTATTTCCTGCCTTTCCTCAACCATTTTCAAATGTATTTCTGTTGGGTACTTAAGACAAGAAAAGGACAAACAAGCAGTCCTACAGTCAGATCAGCATATGGCAGAGGAAGGAAAAATGTTAAGGAGATGCAGTGGCAAGCTTTTCTTGCTTAAGGGAGATCAGTTTGGAGAAAGTGAGAAGCAGCCCTGTAAAGAGTTTCCATTTACATGTGGTCAGCACAAAACCAAGACAAAGCTCCTGACACTTCAGAACAATGCTGAGTGCCCTTCCCTTAAACAGCCATGAGCAAGTGATGCGTAATATAAATTAAAAAAGCCATGGGTGGCTGTATGGTTTGGACACCAAGTTCCCACTCCCTTAACTAAGAATAGTTTCTGTTTTCTGTGGATATGTCAGTCAGAGGACAGAGCTCTCTTCTTTATTCTTGAAATAATCTGTGGTTTAGGTTTTGCTTAACACTGTGTCAAAGTGGTGAATCTCATTATGGTTAATACATTTGCTAACAAAAAGGGAACTAATCTGTCAAATAGTACTGGCCAGTTGTGGTCAATGCATAAGTCCCAAGTTGCGAAAATGCCTAATTCATGTTTTCTTGCTGTAGCTTTCCCGTCCCCATATCCCTCCTGTTCTGCCTACAGTTTTGTAGCAGAATGGAAACTCATGATTAATTCTGCACTGCCATCTAATGGCATAATAAAGGCAGAGCCTTGGAAATTGGTTTCTTCATACATACAGGAGGAGGAGAAAATAAAAATGTGCCTTTCTTGAAGGAACAGTTACACTGTCCTTACTCTGCCACCAATTCCCAGAGCAGTTAGCCTGACCATGCTACCTTTAAAAAGAAAGTATTTCTTTGAGAAATAGCTCCCTTAATCAAAACTCTTAAGCGGGTTTTGAGTATGCTGTTTAGTTACAGAACAGTTGCTAAGTTATGCAGTGCAAGTGCATAGAAAATGCACTTCTATTACAGCTGTGGTGAAGGAGGACCTCTCTCTGTTTTGTTCTCTGTCTTTTAAAGCACCTCATTTTTACAGAGCCCGAGGAGAGAATCCATCAGCCAAGTTTTACTTGCAGTGGAAGAGACAGAAGCTTGCTTTTTCTTCGCTCCTTGCTTTTGCCTAAATGAGTTCATGACCAACTAATGTGCTTTTATGCTCTGGAGAGACTAACATTTCAGGGCAGCCCATTTTCCAAGAGCCTGTGAAAATCTGAGGAGTGTTCCAGGAGTCCTCTTTTCCTTGCCATCTCCCACCAATTCAGAAGGTCAAAGGTTTGCTTTTAGAGCCAGTGGCATTCAAAAACCCCATCTTGCTCTACAACTGCCATGCTATGGGGGACAGAGGGAAACTCTGTCCAGAAACTACTGATTTTTGGCAGTTGAGATAATAAGCTGGTATGTGAGCAGGAGTGGCTCTTCCTTTCAGGGACCTCGATTTACCCCCTCGCACCTGATACATGTATTCTGCCTGCAATCAGTCCAGCAGCATCCCAGGCATCTCTTGCTGCACGCATGCCATGCAGCCCTGCCCCACATTTCAAAACCAACAGAAACCGCTGGCAGGCTTCCTCCCCTGATTATCCTGGCTGGGAAAGCAGCTAGAGGTAGCAGCAGTAATGCATAAGGCGCAAGAACAGTAGCTCCAGCTGCTCCAAATTTCCCCACGAAAAGCAGATTTCACATCCAGACCTCAGAAAATTCCTACTGTGAGTATTACTGTTTATCCACCCATCCATTCCTTCTGTTGCACCTGACATTTCCCTGACATCTCAGGGCTGAACAACATCACCAGCCAGCATCTCTTCTGGCCAGCCTGCTGCTGGGCAGAGTCCATCTGTCGAAACACTGCTTTCCTCCGTGGAAACCCTCCTCTTCATCTGCCTTCCTTGGACTTGGGGACAGGGGCCATGACGAGGCAGCAGGGCTTTCCTTTCAGCCCACACAGCTGGGAGAGGAACCCCTGCTTACTCCTAGTCTTGGATGTAAAGTCTGTCTCTTGGGTTTAATCTGCAAGAAATCTTCCCCACAGAGTGATGCACATCTCAAGCGGTACATGAGGAGATGGGGCCGGTCCACCTTGAGACACTGTTCTCTCCTTTCTCCTTCAATATCCCTGCTCACGTTGAGTCCAGTGCCAAAGGGAAGTTTCCTGCCATGGGGAGTCACAGCCCAACATCCTCTCTGTGCTCTGAGGGTACTCTGGACATTTGGTTGCTTCTTTCCTTTGCAACATGATGTTCTGCCCAGGAGCAAAGGCTGCCAAGGCACCTTTTCTGCTCCTCACGCTGCTGTGACAGGGAAGCCCTGCACACACACAGCTCTCCTGGCTGGTTTCTTGGCCCCAGCCCTGTGGCAGCAGGAAGCAGCTGAGGGAACAGCCGTGAAGCCACTTATGCTGGTATTTTAAAAGTGATGGCATTTTTCAGATTGCTGTCTCAGGGGTGAACAGAAAAAGAAAGCCAAAACCAGTCACATCCCTGCCTGCTGCTCTGACAGGGAAGGACATCCAGCCTTGTTGGAAGTGTGATGAGAGGCAAAACAAAGGAAAAATTGCATTGAGAGTGAACAAAGCACCAGTGTGAAGAGCTGTCAGTCTCTGTTAGCACTACAGGAATATCACCAACTTTGCAACATGATAATAGAAAAATGTCAAAGAAAATACCTGACTCCAGCAGACATCTCGCTCTGTACTTGTGGGCTGAAGCCTGGTGCCAGCCAGGTGGTCCTCAGCTTGGGGTTGCACCACAGACAGCCCACAGCACTCGCACTCTGCTGAGCTGTTCTCACTACTGCTCAGCTCTCCCTAGGGAAGATTACTTACGTGTACTGCAGAGGCTTGATGTTAAACAACTTTTCCAGCTGCTTCTCCCTACCTCTTATCTAGATTTTTAGCTCATGGAGGTACCTCTTTCTCCACTGATAGTGTAGCCCTGGCCACTTGCAGGCAGGGAGAGAAAGGGGCTTTTCTGTCAGGACTTCCAAGCATAAGGGGTGAGATTTTTCCACATACCATCAGCACTAGTTTGACTTTCTAGCATTCCTTGAGCAGCCAAATTAAACAGATACCAGTTTAGTTTGAAAAAAAGTAATTTTTGGCAGAGGGTCTGCCTTGCCAACACCATCACAGGGAGGTAATGGTGGGGAGGCTTTCCTTGCTGAATTGGGGCAGCCTTTCCTGAGCAGTCAGCAATTTTATGCTGACCATTTCCTGTAGCCCAGGTTTCCCCACAAGCAGCTTTCCTAGAGCTGGTGCTGTAAAAACATAGTACAACTGCATTGTAAAGAGCTGAGCAGACTAAAGCAAGAAAGAGGGATTCTGCATGTTGCATGTCTGGAAGGCTGAGACCCAGAGACTGGCCTGACATCTCCCAGGGCACAGGCAGCATGAAGGAACAAACCATGGTTTTGACCTCCAGTTTCACTGCTTGGTTACATGGCTTAGAGTGTCCTCTACTCTCCCCCATGTGAATTTTTCTTTGTAGTTTGCTTCATCTACACAAGGTCGACCCACGAGTGCCAGATGAACTGCTGTACGGGCGCATGGGCTATCTCTATGCACTGATATTTGTGAACAAGCACTTCGGAGAAGAAAAGATCCCTCAAAGCCACATTCAGCAGGTACTGTGGCTTCTGCTGATTTGTCAGCTATCCCTTCCCACACAGCTCATCTTTGGGCAGGTAAAAATCAACACTGGAAGTAGAGAACTTTGGCAACACAGGAGAAACCGCATCACGGTATTCCTG